GATACCGTTATCAAATGACAACTCATGTCTATGGTTAGAAAACCTTAACCATCTTTGATCAACGAGCTAGTCTAGTAGAGTCTCACTAGGGACATGGTATTTGTTTATGTATCCACACGTGTATTTAAGTTTCCGATCATTACAATTCTAGCATAAATAATAAACATTTATCATGATTAAGTAAATATAATAATAACCATTTTATTATTGCCTCTAGGGCATAGTTCCATCATGTAGCCCCACCATCTCGCCTTGCAACACGTGGTCACTCAGCCCACCTTCTCACCTTATCTCTTCCGACCGTTCTCGTCCTTTTTTTCTTCTCCACCGCATCTCCTCATCTCCTTCTCCTCCGTGTAGCCACTAGCCTCCACCGGCTGACCCTTGTCCACATCATCTTCTCATATCCTTCTCCTCCAGCGAGCTCCTCCAGTGAGCCGTATTCCCACCACTGTCTTTCCTCTCTCATGGTCGTTGACATGCAAGGTTGGGAGGCCCCGTGAGCCTGAGCCAGGGGCAGGATCTGCGTAGCTAGTTCCTCTCTCCCCTCCCCACATTGTGAGGGGAGGTGGCATCATTGGAAGGAAGGCGGCGAGGGCGCGCAGCTGGGAGCAGCTGTCAGGGGATGTTGCAACTGGCGGGCGCACAACTGGGAGCAGTCGACCGAGATGCTGCTTCTGGCAATTGCAAATGTTGTAACCGGCACTTAGGTTGCCGGGACCGATGATGGAGATCGCTGGAACCAGTGGAACAAAAACTACAACCAACCATGGCCATTGTTGCGACGAGCGAGAGGGTGGGTGCATCGTCACCGTCAATTTTGCTAGAACCAACATCAGCCAAAGCTACATCCAACGGTCGAGAAAGCTACTATCGACGACACCGATTGCTACAACCGGAGATGACGAAAGTTGGTGACCGGCCACTGCGGCAACCGGGGGAAGCTGCAACCTTTGATGGAAAATGCTTCCACTGATGAAAAAAAACCTTCAACCGGCACTGACAGAAGCTGGGGCCGAGCCATTACGCAACCACGAAGTTGCAACCGAAGATGGGAGAAGCTTCAACCAGCGATGATGGTGCGAGCTGTGACACCGAAAGCTGCAGTTGACGATACGATGCTGCTGTGACGGGGCGCTGCGACGATGACTAGGCGCTGCAACGACAACCACCACGTGTTAAGGCGTCACCGACGATAACACTCCGACCAACGGCGACGTTATTATGAGGGCGGCTATTGGAACTGCGAGGACGTGTGCTGCAAGGGTGGCGAGCCGGCGGTGCTTTGAGGTCAGCCGCTTGAGGCGTCCATGGTAGGTGTCGACGGCACTCGACTACCACTCTTTTTTCGTGCTTGCGTTTTGTGTTTTTTGGAGGCAAAAACAAACAATGTGAGGAGCTGATCTGGACGGCTGAGAGGCATCACATCCAAACGTGCGGGATGCGACCAACGAGGGGTTGGCGCCAGTCAACCGGAGCCTAGCACCGCTATAAAAAAACGTATACTAATGATCGATTTGTCTACAATAAATGTATATACACTGGTTGGAAAGGCAATCTAGTAGTATATCTCTTAGTGGCATATCTAACAAATAATGTTCATATACTCTAAATTAATTGTGTGGTGTAGTATAAATGTTACATACAAGTGCTTAATTATGCCAAGTTTTCTTCACAAGAAACAAACACACGGTTGAGGGGAGTGACGCGTGGGGCCGTGGCATGGCACAGCTGTTAGCTGGACCGCTGATCCGTTACAACTGTTGGTGGGACCGCCATCTCCTCACTTCTTTACAGTACTCCCTCTGTAATTCTAAACGCTTTTATATTAGTTTACGGAGGAAGTATTAATGAAGAAATTTAAAAAATAACTTGAGAATACGGATTTCCAGGAAGGGGACAACAAGCCACGCTCTCGCCACAGTCCGCGCTATAAATACGCGCGGGCGGCCCACGAAGCCCGCGGGCGCGTAAGACGCGAAGAAAAAGTAAAGCACAAAAAAACGCGCAGCGGTGGGAGAGCCAGAGCCATGGAGACGGGCGGCGACGAGATGATGATGACCTCGGGCGCCACGGGCCGGATCGTGCCCGTCTTCCGCTCCGTGCTGTCCCGCCGCGCGCTGCTCCGCCTGGCCGTCGCGCTCCACTCGCTCTTCCTCTGGCTGCTGCTCCTCGTCGGCCGCCGCCGCCGCCCCGACGCCGCGAGCCCGGCGGTGGAGCCCGGCCGGCTCGGGAGGGCCAGGAGCCGGCGCAGGGCCGCGGAGGAGGAGGACGTGCGCCGCCGCCGGGCGCTCGCGGAGGAGGTGCCCATGGCGGAGGAGGAGGACGGGGACGGGAGGACGTGCGGCACCTTCGTCGTCGCCGGGGCCAGGCGGAACGCGCTCTTCTGCCGCGTCTGGGCGCCGGCGGCCGGCGCCGAGATGAGGTGAGCCCGTCCGCCCGTCCCCGTGGCGTGTGCGATCGAATTGCCTTCCGTGGACCCTGGGGGGTTTCGGTCGCCGTGGAAATTGGTGGTTTCCTTTTGTTCCTTTGTGTGGATTTCGCTTTCGTGGTTCGTGATTTTTTACTCCTCACTTTTTTGCTGTATATATATATATATATATATATATATATATATATATATATATATATATATATATATATATATATATATATATATATATATATATATCATATGGGCGGAGCGGTGGGAGAACGGTAGTTCGTGGACTTGACCTCACCCAGAAGGGATTTGCTCTTTCGTCTGAATCAGTCAATATTACAACGATTTTTTTCCTAAAGAATAAAACAAGGATTTTCTTCGGGTCTTTGATCCCTTGGATGCTTTGTTTATTTGCGAATTCTGCGTGGTGGATAGTTCTCTTGCGCCTTTGGCACTCTTCTCTGACCCCAACGGGCGGTAATTTCAGTTAAAGCTGCATTTTTCTGCTCCTGTTTAGGCGATTCCAGTGTAGTAATGGCAAGGCGCGATGAGCATTTAGATCATGCATACTAGCTGCGGTTTTGATCACGCAATTAGAGTGCTTTACTGGATACCTGGACCTAGTGTTCTTCAGAAGACTTTGTGGCTGCTGCTCTACTCATAAAGAGACGTGCCGTGCGATGCACGTTGAGTACATAAAAAAAATGTCAGATCTCCATTGATCTTTGCATTCATGGTCATTACCCCTGTCAATGATGATGCATGGAGTTTGTCCTCATCGCAGAGCTGCTGTTTTAGGTTGTCATATTTCTTGTACGCGCCTATCGATCGGAACCTCAACTAGTTGACTACATTAACGATAGCTCTGTGCATTTTTTTTTCTGTGATAGTGTAAAGCAACTTTGAAATACAGCAAAGGAGGAACAAGTAAAGTGGAATGGATTAGGAGAATATAAGCTGATGCTTATCTCCAACTTCTGTTCCATTCTTATCTCTCAATGAAAAACCTTAACGTAATGTCTCCATGTGACACAGGAAAACTTAGCTATCAAGAAAGGGGGAGATGATTTTTTCTTAATTCTTTAATGCGCCCACTTTGTGCAACCGAAGTGTTGATTATTCTTGACATGACCCAGTTGTAGTTGCATGAGCTGACCGTCAACTCTGTTTTCAATATGAATGGCATAATAGTCAAACAAACCCAGCAAACAAATGTTGAAAAAGGAGATAACTGCAACTAATTTAGGTAATCCGCCACCCCTAATTATGCTGACTGGTTTTATGGCTTTACATGTGTGAACACCTTTTGAGAAGAGTGTGGTTCTCTGTTTCAGTCTCTTTCATTAGAAATGGGAAGTTTGAAGCATCAAACTTAGCACCTCTTTCACCTGCAGTGACACAATTTTGTATTGACTATCTTCCTCTTTTGCTTTAGGGGCGTTCTGCTGATCGTACATGGGCTCAATGAGCATAGGTAAGGAAATCCTGTCGAGTCATTCCCCTCCAGTCCTCCATGCTGCAGCATGGTGGTGTATCTATATTTTTCATATATCCTCCTTGTATTGAAGGCATTACTAAGAGTATCTTGATCTTGTGTTTCAGTGGGAGGTATTTGCATTTTGCCGAGCAGCTAACGTCATGTGGCTTTGGAGTATATGCAATGGATTGGATAGGTAAGGAAACCTACTTCTGGTTTTCTGAACATGTGTTATTCTGCTATATTAAAGGAAATGTTACACATGGTTGGGTTGGTGGAAGATCAGTGCTATATTTAGAAACAAATTCAATGAATGATCAATTTCGAGGCATGTTGCTCGATCTTACATAATTGTTCCTCAGAGCAAAATGTAAACTAACTGTTAGTTCTTAATTGCTATGGAAAAAACAGACTAGGAAACTGAATAAATTACTAGTAGTAGCTTTTCTTTATAACACATTATAAGGTAAAATATAAGCAATGGTGCTAAGGTTGTCATGTTGTGCCCCCATAGTTGCGGATTCTTTCCTTGGAATTCATTCCTATGTGTCAATCAGTCCTTCGAGAAAATTATTCGTGGTTTTGAATCTCTTTGTTCCTGTGAGGTGTGAACATGCCTACTGAATTTTGCACTCGTTTTAACATCATCAGGCTAACTTGAGCTTATGCATAATAGGTCATGGTGGCAGTGATGGTCTGCACGGTTATGTTCCTTCACTTGATTATGTTATAGAAGACATGGTAAGTCTCTGTCTGTGCACCTACTTCTACATTCTTCTGTTCAAGGTTTTTTGATAGAAGGGACAGAGCTATTCTGTTCCCGATGGCTGATGTGATATGTAATGCTATATTATCATCTCTGAACAGGAAGTACTCCTTGATAAAATTATGCTGGAGAATCCAGATGTTCCTTGTTTTCTACTCGGTCATTCAACTGGTGGAGCTGTTGTTTTAAAGGTATGGCTTGTCGAATTAAATCGCTTTTTGTCATCGGTATTTAGGCCAGATCTAGACACTGACCCTACTCCTCTGGGCCTGTGAACAATGGATACCCTGCCGGCGGAGAATGGTGCAAAGCATTAACAAAATAGCCTGGTTGAAATGGTTTGGCTAACGATGCTCATTTAACAACGCTTAACTTTCTTGTTTCATGCATGCTCATCACTAGCTGTCATTTTGCAGGCGTCGCTGTACGCTCACATCAGAACCAGACTGGAAGGGATCATCCTGACTTCACCAGCTGTGCGTGTAAAACCAGCGCATCCGATTGTTGGGGTAATATAACTATTCTGGTTTCCTAGTACTCCGTATTATTTTGTGGGCATTTGGGATGACTAAGATAAAAAATGATTGCATGAAAGCATTTGACCGGATTTGATACTTCTCGTTTCTGATATTATTTCGGAAGTCTGCTTTTGGATTCCAACGTCAAATTTAAAACTTCAAAATGTGGAACATATCGGTACCTGCATGCCAAGATGTGTTTCGTCACTGAGACTTATCTGAATCAACGCAGGCCGTGGCACCGATATTCTCTCTGATAGCACCCAAGTTCCAATTCAAGGGAGCAAACAAGCGGGGCATTCCGGTGTCTCGCGACCCCGCCGCGCTGCTGGCGAAGTACTCTGACCCACTGGTCTACACCGGGCCGATCAGGGTCCGGACGGGCCATGAGATCCTGCGCATATCCTCCTACCTGCTGCACAACCTGAAGAAGGTGACTGTCCCGTTCATGGTCCTGCATGGCACCGCGGACCGGGTGACGGACCCGCTGGCCTCGCAGGAGCTCTACACGGAGGCCGCGTCGAGGCACAAGGACCTGAGGCTGTACGAGGGGTTCCTCCACGACCTGCTCTTCGAGCCCGAGCGCGACGAGATCGCCGCCGACATCATCGGGTGGATGGACCGGACGCTCGGTCTGCAGGCTGTATGAGTGGTAGTTGTTGTCTGAATATGGGGAGGAGATGGGCATCATGTGTAGGCCGCTCAGATCGCGGCAATGGGATTGCAGTCATGGGCTTCATGGCATGGCATGGCAAGGCATGCATGATGGCTTTGATCTGATTCTTGCCGGTGTTTTCTGAAAGTGGTCTGCAGATTGCCTGTGATATTCTTCCCCATCTTACGATGCTGCCGATTGCAGACCAATGAATTGGGAAGCCGGTGGCTTGTGCTTTGTATGAATGCTGCAATATATATCTATAATAACAAAAGGGGTGGGAAAAAAAATAAGGGTAATGCTATTCAGCGGACGTTCGCTAGGGGGGTGGCCATTTGCGAGCGTTTTTCACGGCGTCTTATGTTATGGGAACATGGCAATTCCTTCAAGCGAACACCGCAAAATTCACATCGAAATCCCGTTGTTTGCAGAATCTGTGTGTTTCTGAAGAAATTGTCCATGTGTGTTTGAACAACTTGTCATAGAAAAAAACGTTTGCAAATGTCATACTCACCATTGAACTTCGCTGACTACTGCGGTCTAAAGAATAACGCGTACTGCTTGCTGGCTTGGAAAACCTTTCTCGATCATGTGAAGTTTGTGCTCCAATTATTGGTACTCCTATACATATGCCCGCCTTCAAACCTGTAAAATGAAAGCAAGCAGCTGCACGTACCCTGGCGGTTAGCTGTCCCGGACCGACATGTGCCAACTGCCAAGTGGTTGGGAGGGACCGTTTCGTTGGGAGTTTCGAGTCAACAATGGCGAGCGGTAGGTTATTATTTATTGATTGGACATGTTCGTGCGATCATATGAAACCTAGGTGCAGATAAGTGAGATAACATACTCCTCCTCCCGTGGATAGATTTTCTGGCAGGTGGCAGAGCAACGTGTGTCGTTAGCGGCCAAGTGGTAGCTGGGGACGGTTGACAGTTTTCAGTAAGGTCAGCAATGGTGAATGGTAGCTGGGTAGGTGGTGCAAAGTCATGTGCGCGACAACGTTCTCTCTTCACCGGAAAGTAACGTTCAAGTTTCAGCTTTGACAACCTTTTTTTTCCATGGAAAGAAAGAAACTTTGACAAGTTTTTATTAAACGGTTCGCTAATAGTCAAATCAGAACCGTAACACTTGCAACTGGTTTTTGTCCACATTTTTTTTGTGGGGATTCATCCACTTTTCCTCGTTTACTTGAACATTGTTCTTCGCTCCGGCAACCGGTGGTGGGGAGGGGGATCCCGGTGCCTCCGCTCCGGTTAATGGTTTGGGTTCGGGGTTTTTTAGTCCTTACAGGTGTGGTGGTCGGGCGGATGGCGATGCTTCTTCTTTGAAATTGTTTTTCTGGGCTGCGATCCTCCTCAAGTTCGGCATGTAGTCGACGGAGATACGGGGTAGATTCCCGCCGTCTCCTTGGGGCTGTGAGGTTAGAGTTTGTCGTTGTCTGGCGAGATTTGGTGTCAGGTACTTCAGAGCTATTCAATGGTTCAATGGCGACGACTGCGGTTCTAGGGAGCTGCTGGTCCTTAAGAGCACGTGCACGAAGACTTTCCGGCTATTATCGACAAGGTCAAGCCGACTTTGATAGAGGAGCGGCGGCGGTGGCGCGTCGACGGCTCGTTCTAGCTGCGATAGTGATCGTTCGGCGGTCTCAGAATCTCGATGTAATTTTTATTATGTTTGAGATACTTTGTACTTTCGGTGAATTTTGATAATACATCTGAATCATTTTTGCCAAAAGAAAGCTCTGTTCTTTTTACTAAAGAAAAAGGCGGAGCTCCCTCGATAAAATTTATTCTGCTTGCTTTTCTTATGGTAGAACTTCACTCTAGTCAATGAACTTTAAAAAGTAGATGGAGGCATTGCGCCACTTGTCTGCTATTAGAGGTTTGAAAGTAATCCTTGTCAGGGGTATCTCTTAACTAGTGATTACCTTCGCCGCGTAGAAAAAAAGGTCCTCGTAGTGTTGGGGGTTGGGTGCGACATATGCCAAAGGATGGCTTATCATGGTGGGGGCGAGTAGAATGTCGCTGGTGCCTGGAAACGGGATAAGGCGAAGACATGCACGCCGGCGAATCTTACCTAGCTTCGGGGCTCTCCGTGGAGATAATACCCGTACTGCTGCTCTGCGGGGTCTCCGCATGATCACTATGGCAAAGGGTGTACATGGTTGCTCCTTGAGCTGTTTCCTGGAGGTAGGAGAAGGCTAGGCTAGCTCCCTCCTTCCTATCTCATCTGGTCTAGTGCTAATGGATTCGAACCCTTTGCATGGGTGCCCTGGGGGGGTTTATATAGGCCTACCCCCCAAGGGTACAATGGTAATCCGGCTGGGCGCGGGCCCAGCCGTCAGTTTCTCCGGCCTCCGTCTTCTCCGCCGACTGCTGGGCCCGCCAATTGACGGGCCCCGCCGACTGGTCCGGTACGGCGCCGACAGGCCGTGTCCGCCGCTGGCGGGTCTTGTCGGCTGCTGATTACTGTAGCCGTGCTTCTAATGACGCGGGCTTGGTCATGGGGTCATGGCGACAGCCCCGCCGCTTGGCAGGCGATCACTATTGCCACTCCTCGTCACATCTGGTTAATGGCGCGTGGGCCCCGGGGGAGGGGCGGGCCGACTCCTGGGGGCCGACTCCCATCCGGGCCGACTGGTGGCGCTCTCGCCGTCTTCTGGACTCCCGCTAACTGGTGGGACCCGCCGCCCCAGAGTCGTACAGACAAGCCGTCGTGGGCGCAGGATTCTGCCCACTGGTGCTGATGTCAGGGCCTGGCATGGCAACAGTGCCGCGCCGGACGAAGATCTCTGCGGGTACGGCGTACTGTGGCCATGCCTGCCCTTGGAAAGGGGTGGGAGTGGGATTTACTGTAGCCACTCCCCGCCCCGTCCCTCTTGATGAGGGCGTGGGGTTTGTTGGAGTCGCAGGCCGGCTCCCATGGCCGGCTTCTCTGGAGGTCGCTAGTTAGGAGTCGGCTCATCCTGAAGCCGTCTCCGGGACTTGGCCATGAGTGGGCAGTCGGTTGCCTTGCCACTGACTTCTCAGAAGGCGGCTCTTCGTCCTGGGGTCCATCGGGGCGCAGCCTGCCCTGATGTCTCGGGTTAGCCTACCCGTGGCCCATTACTCCGACAGTAGTCCCCGAAGCTGATGAGGCACCGCGGACGATCGGCCGAGGAGCCTCAGCAGTTTCTCTTTCCGGGTGCCCGAGACATGGATCTTGCTTGACTTCTGCCGGGCCGACTAGAAGGAGTCAGACTCGCTCAACTCTGATTTGAACAATATTTCGAACGCCGCGGCGGGATCCAAGTGGCGTGATGGCTAAGCTTCCCGGCCGCCTCCCGTTCCGGGCCTGTCACGCGGCGACACGCGGCCGGGCCAGTCTGTCTGCCCACACGCGTGACGGGACAGGCCCGCAGGCGGGGCCCGCCATTACCGCGCCTCGGCGCATGAGCGGATCCGCTGCGGCCCGAGAGGACGGTTGGGATTCCCATAACTTTGGCGTGGAAACGTGGGGGTCGTGGGGTCATGGGCGCAGTAAATCCCATGACCGCCCCCTCGGCTTCGCAGCCCATGAGGCTATAAGTAGGGGGAGGAGGGGGGCGCGGCAGAGCACGCGCGCCCCTCCTCCACGCTACTCCTTGCTCTTCTTCTTATTCTTCCTCGCACCGCCGCGCGCCCAAGCTTTGCCAAACGCCGTGGCGATCCGCTCACGATGAGCTCTTCCTCCGCCACCGCGCCTCCCTCGGTGCATTCCGGCACCTGGGACGGCTCAGAGGTCCATGACAACCACATCGAGTTCCTCCGCAAGACTCGTCGGCTTCCCGGCAAGGATTACGTGCGGGTACGCCTTGCGCCGAGGGGGGAGATTTCTCCGGCGCCGGAGGAGGGCGAGCGGGTTATCTTCCGCTCGCACTGCCTGCGCGGCCTGGGGCTGCCGGCAAGCAGCTTCTTCCGCTCCTTTCTGGAGTTCTACGGCCTCCAACCGCATCACCTCACGCCCAACACGGTGGTGCTGTTGTCCGCCTTCGTTGCCCTGTGCGAAGGCTTCCTCGGAGTCCTCCCCACCATCGAGCTCTGGGGGAGTTCTTCTACTCTAAGCTCGGCACCCAGGCCGCAGGCGTGCCGGCTCAGTGCGGCGCGTTCATCGCCGTGCGGAGGTCGGGGGCCGACAACCCCTTCCCCACCATCAAGCTGATAAAGTCGATGAAGATGTAGCAGCGATCGTACTTCTACGTGAAGAGCGTCTTCGCAAAGGGCGATTGGGTCAATCTGCCGGCTTTCGAAGCCGGCCCGCCGGCTGGGAGGCTGCCCAACCGGTCGTATCGGGCCAAGTCGCTGACGCTTGCGGGAGCCGGCGTCGTCACGCGACTCCGAGTGCTGACGCAGTCGGAGGACTTGACTGGTCCAGATCTGTTGGCCGCCTTCGTGGCGTGCCGAGTTCTCCCGCTCCAAGGTCGCCCCCACATGATATGCCAAATGAGCGGGCACCGTGACCCGAGTCGGATGTGCACCAAGGACATGCCTCACGAGGAGGTGGCCTACATGGTGAACTACCTCTCGGACAGCAAGCTCCTGGAGGATTGGCGGTTCGGCAAGGAGCCATACTCTCGCGCCACGCCCCCCCCCGCCCGTAGTGAGTTGCCTTTTTCCTTCTTTCTTTGAATTGTCTTCTTTCTTGACGAGTTTGTCTTGTCCGACCTGACCAGTCGGCTTTGGTCAGAATCCCCTCCTCCATCCATCAGCCGGCACCACGGGGCCGGCCCGCGAGTTCCTCGCCGACCGGGCGGAGAGCGACATCGACGACCCCGATCTGGGGGCGGCGACTTTGGAAGACGACACCGAGGGAGGAGGCGGCCCACGGTTCGGGGCCAGTCTAGAGGACTGGCCTGATGATGAGGAGGAGGTTGCCCCCCGCCACCGGCCAGGAGTCGGCCATCCCGGCGCGGGCTCTCCTGCCGCGCTGGGTGCTCCAGGCGGCGGGAAGAAGCGCAGGGCCGTGCCGACCTTGTT